CAACGCGTTCTGGAAGACGAGTCAGATTTGCAGAACATCTTAACGAATATTGCACGTAGGACATAAGCTTTATCTTGAATTACCCTTCCATAGTTCATTATAAAAAAAAATTTTAATATGATAATTTTTTATTTATATTAAAAAACCAAAAAAACAAAACTTTTTTAACTTTTTTTGAGCATATTTATATATATTTTTTATACATAAAAAAAACAACCCAAAAACAAACCATTTTTCTCCAATCGCTTTTACGCTGTTTGTAAGTGTATCGGTTTATTTTTTCCGCTCATCTTGTGTCCTTACGCAAGTACGAGTGTATTTTCGACATGCACTCACACGTTTTAATTTTCCTCTTTTCCAGGACGGCTGGAAAAGAACGACGAAGTTTCGCAAGAAACCGAAATTTTCATTTTACTATATTTCTTTATTGCTATGTTGTACATTTTGGTCCCATAGTTTAAGGAAAGACGACCACATGCTGCTTAACGAAGCAAGCTATCAGAAGAGTGTTTACCAATGACAAACTCGTTGGGTTTAAACTTCTGGCTGGTCACATCTTAGGAGCATCACTACCTTACTAGGGGGGGAGTGATCTGTAGCTATAAATAATTCCCCAAAATCAATAGTTCATTAAGTGTTCGACTTTGGATGCTGACCACGTGTTTAAGTGGACTTGTTTAGCTGAAGGCTTTCGGTCATGCATCCGCACCAGATCACGTTTCGACTCGGCGTGGGACACAGCTCCTACGTTTCATTAGCCAGCTCATAGAAAAGGTCCTCGATATATTGGTAACGAATCAAATATATCTTTCCTGCCTCTTCTCGTCTGACTTCTGATTTCTAGCTGACTGGGAACAATCGAATTTAGAAGGTGCTACTGGTATCTAGTTGTAAAACCAGAATATCCGTTGCATCATCAGTATCTCGAAGGGAGTCTTCATTGAACCTTTGTAGTGCTGTTTGTCCAATTGTCCAGTGTTTCTTTAGCTTAATTCTCATCTCGGCCACAACCAGGTGGTGATCTGAAGCTATATCAGCTCCTCTCCTGGTTCTCACATCTTCCATTGTCCTTTGGAATTTTTGTTGATACAAATATGATCTATCTGGTTCTCTGTGGCGTAGTCCGGCGAGATCCATGTAGCTTTGTGCACGTGTTTGTGCGAAAATATTGTGTCGCCTATAGCCAATTTGCTGAATGCACATAGATTTGAAAGTCTCTCCCCATTTACATTCCTCTCTCCTAGTCCATGACATCCAATTATATCTTCATATCCTATGTTGTCCACTTCGACTTTAGCGTTTAGATCCCCCATCAGGATTTTGAGGTCCTTCCTAGACCACTTCGCTATGATTGATTGCAGCCTCGAATAGAACTGATCTTTGTCGTCGTCCCTGAGCGTGTGGAGCATTTTCCCCTTCGTGACCGGAGTACAGCAGTGTCTTTTCCGTACCTAGCCTTTGTTGTCCAGTTTGTGTCCAATGAGTTTCGCTGATTCTGAGTACTACCAATTTGTATCTCCTCATTTCCATCGCTATTTGACTGGTCTTTCCGATCTCCCACGTTGTCCGGACGTTCCATGTACCTATAAAGTGTTGCTCTGGTTGTTAGAATGAGCATCAACCTCCGCTTTCATCACGAGGCGTCATAATTCTTCCTTCAACTCCCAGGGCAGAGTTTAAATGGTTTGAATTATTTTTTCTGTCTAGAGTTTTTTAGCTAGTTTTCATACGGAATGAGGTCGCTAACCCCATGCCCAACACTCCTCCCTTACCCGGGCTTGGAACCGGCAGTAACTATAGAAGAGGTACAGGCGGAGTTGACACTTGGACAAGCAGCACCGCAAAAAGTCAATACGACTTTCTTTTGAGATAATAAACAACTCAGTGAATTCAAGATAGCTCACAGCAAATAGTTCCAGGCCTTACAAGGCCTACTAGGAGAAGAAAAAAACCATTATGTAGGACTGGAAAAGGATCTGAAAAGCAATAAACTCAAAATACTAGAAGGTGGTGAGTAGCAAAAAGCACCGACATAAAGAATGTATCACTGCAAACAGCCCGATCAAGATTTGAGAGAGGGAAAAAGAAGACAGCAGCTAATGACAACCAAACAAGAGCTCATGAAACCAAGGAACAGGCCAGATATACAGGAGCAAATGAGAGGATGAAAAGCATTGGAGCTGACAAATGAAAACACGTACAAAGACCCTGTCCCTACAGCAGAAGAAGCTTCGAAACCAGCAAACTGGATTTCGTAAGGATCGATTACATAACAATCAAACCGCGATACTGTGGATTATTACCAACTCTAGTGACTGTTTAGGAAAGCATTCAATAGAATGCATAAAAACGCGATGTAGAATCCTTTTTGACAATATAGGATGGGAAGATTGTCACCATCATATGGAACTCTCACGAATGACTGAGGAGGACAGCTCCAAGACGTGTTCCAAGTGAAGACCGGTGTCAGAGAAGACTCCATATCCCTGTACGTACGTACATCAGTTCGAGTTGCCATACCACATTAGCACAGAGATGCAGTTGTCGATTCAAATCCCATAGTGGTAGAAGTAGTACGAGTATAAGCAGTAATGTGAAAGATTAGGGTTTGAAGATTTTATTGAAAGAGTATAATCCAATGAAATAAATTTAGAGAAAAAGATAGGGACATGAAGATTTCAGAAGATTAGAATTTGGTAGAACACCGAGAGTGGATGCACCTACGCCATCGTAAACGATTTTGAGCCTTACACCCAAGGTCTCTAACCCTCGATTGCTATCGTTTCGCGGATCCCAACCAGGTAGTCTACACGTACCAACATGACTCAGTCCACTTGTCAGTGACTTCATGGATTTGTGCCAAGTTTTGATCTGGCCATCCCTAGCTTTTTCCAACCTAATCCTACACCATAAAACATTGCATGTCAGGGCAGTCGGTGGTTGGGCATACGTAACACGTGTCACAGCCATCTCAACTGATGAAGTTTCACCACTTCATCAATCGATTTGCCATCCTTACCTAGTACCCGTTTCCTAACAACTGCATTACTTACCCGGTGGTCCCAGGATATACGAGCAATGCTTCGAAGATACCTATGATCGAATACTAGCAGCCTACGAATATCCTCTACTCTTATCTGCCATAAAGTAGGACGAAACGAACTGCTGCGCAGTAAATCCGTCCTTTGTTTGTTAAACGGATATTTCGCCTACGCCATAAATGGCGCAAGTTGATGAAAGCTAGTCGAGCCTTCTGTATCCGTGCTGAGATTTCGTCACACACCAGACCACAGGGGCTGATGAGACTCCCAAGATAAGTGAAGCGGTCAACACGCTCAACTACTTTACTCTCTATCACTAGTTCAGGTGCCGACACAACCCGATCCTAAAGTAACATTTTGCACTTCGAGGGGGAGAATCGCATCCTGAACATGCTTGTATAGTTGCTTATAGGGGTCAGAAGACTGCATTTTGTCAGCATCTTCACCAAATAGAACTATGTCATCGGCGTATTCTAAGTCAACAAGTGAGTCCCCCAGTAACATTTCAAATTCTGGAGATTTAGATTAAAGTGTTATCTCTGAAAGCATGTCAACGACAAAGTTAAACAAGAATGGGGAGAGCGGACAGTGTACTAGCGGCTTCCACAGAAATGGACCTCAACATTCACAAGAGAAAAAGATCATGGTACGTAAAACATTGAGCACCAACCAAATCACACTAGATGTAAAAGCTCTGGAAGAAGTAGAAACCTCCACTACCTAGACAGTAACATCAATCAACAAGGAGGATTTGATTCGGACGTGAAAACATCAATCAACAAATCAAGGGTAGTATTCCAACAATTGAAGAATATCTGGAACTCAAAATAACTGTCACCCAAGACCAAAGTCACAATTTTTAACACTAACGTCGAAGTAGTTCTATAGTAAAGAGCTGAGACTTGGAGAACTAACACAACCGCCATAATAAGGTACAGGTGTTTTAAATAGGTATCTACGCATAATACTCTAGATCGATTGCCTAGAGACCATCAGCAATAACATACTGAATAAGAATAAACTGACTTGCAGTTAAAGAAATTAAGAAAAGGTGGGTAGGACACATTATGAAAACTGAATCGCGAGGCAAGCCCTAACTAGAAATTCTCAAGGCAAACAGGAAAGTGATGGATCGAGGAACACACAGGGCTCCGAGAACTGGAGGCGGACATCAAGAGCATGGACATCACTTGGCAAACTTGGAAAGGAAATTCTATGACAGTATTGCTTAGAGATCTCTTCACTTCACCTACTTCGGTTTGGGTAACCGAGTAGTAAATTATTATCCTTTGAATTTAGAGCGGCTCATTTTTAATTACCAGGCAAATGAGCCAATTTGTTTTACCTACTTTAGTAAGAAGGATAGACAGCAGTGAGAAACATAGTTTAGAAGAAATATAATCGTTGATGAGTAGAACAAAGGCTCATTGAATGATCTGACCGTATTCATACAATCCTCAAGGACATTTTAGTCTAAACAGTGCATTTATCTCTAATGAAAAAGTATTTCACAGCATATTGTTCTTGAAATGTATGTATCATAACTATATTACTTGTGAACAACTAGACTTTATAACCTTCCTTATATTTTATTAGTTGTAAACTCTTTCCTCATTGGTTAACACTCTTCTTATCTGTTCAGTCACACATCCGTGCCAGCATGCATTGAGACTTATTGTTGAGTCAATTACCTTGAATTAGTCGAACATAAACTAACAATTATTTTTTGTAGAACCCCTTATTATTCGTTTATTTTCATATATAAATATTTCGAGAAACCAAGATAGCCTTTTAACTACATTTAAACTCAGTTGCGTTGTCCTAGCTCGTCTGACAGTATTAACGCCTATAGAGAACTACTTAGTTTTTAACCAATTTATAAGTCATTAGCATTCCATATGACCACACAATTACCACTTGCATATAAATATAAGTCCTACTCAATGACCTATTACTTACCTTAGTGCTTGAGTAGTTAGAGCCTGTTGTAAATGCACCTGTGTGTCAGTTTGCCTTGTTCCATACCCATCAGTACAAGTTTTTTTAAGAGAGCTAAAATTCAAAAGTTTGTGCGAATACAGCTTTTTCATTTGTCTAGAAAACGAAATATGAGCATTAAAATTCCAGCCTTTTATTTTAAATAAATAAAGGATATTATTTCTAAAAATTTCCGTGGGTCATCAAATAAACATTCTAAGAAATAGAAACACTGAACCTGGTATCAATATGGATCAATCTTATAAGACACGATTTCACAGAATGAGACTCACGCAATAAAAACGAAATCCCCCACACGGGTTCAAAGACCACTCAATGATGTTGTAGACTACAGCTGCTTTTATCTGGGCAGCATTGGTCCTTGATCCACTTCCATCTTAGCCGGCAAAACTTGTTGTACTAGGTAGTAACTGGGCGAGTACTGGATACTTTGACAGCCTGTGAAGAGGGGACATTGCTTCAGAGACAACCATGGATATTTGTGACTTATGGACATCTGACTTGGGTAAATATCCTTCACAGTCAAAGAGCATTGTGTGAACTTCATAACATATTTGTCTTATATTGGGTATTTAGATATCTCTCCTGCGTCATAACTGGCATAAAGTGATAAAAACAGGGTGATTATTTGTGTTTTCCTTGATATCATCTACCACCAACTCACCACAGTTAACTAAACTCTTAAAGTGGAGTGACTAAAGGACTCCATCGCTTCACCGTACTTTTAAATTGAGAATTGAAGTACAGCGCTGCTGAGGTAACACTCTGGATGCAGTGGATGAGAGATATTCTTAGAACTTTTATACTGTCACCCAAGTTATGTGAAATACTGCTTTTTATCGGCATCTCCACATAGTAAAACCCTTTATAAAACAACCTTTTTGTTGAAGTTTCTATGTTTATTGAAGTAAGGATAAACATGTACATGACCTGAAACATAATCCGAGCTTAAGTATTCCGGTAAAAGCAACAGTATTTAGCCACTAACCTTCAGTAGTGATTGTTGTGTCTACAGTTGATAGTCAGTCAGTCACAACGTAGAACTTCGTACGTACGTACATCAGTTCGATATGATGCATGCATGATGTTAGTAGTTGTTAGGTCAGGAAGTGTTTAAGCCTTCAGCACTTGTTTGACGTATGTAGATATCTGAGCACAAGATCAATGAAAATGGATCATTGCAATTCTAAAAATGTCGCCTCTTTCATTTGAAATTTGCCTGTTACGATAGGTCATTCAGTCAGCTAGTTATAGGCAACCGTGAATTATTCATGAAAATAGAAAATGAATCAAGGAACTATTCACCGCTAAATATTTCTTTACCAGTTTCTAAAAGAGCTCGAGATTGTGACGATCTATTGATTTGATGTTCAGAGCTTTGTAAAATAATATTGAAATCTGCCAGGAATTTCAGTTCTAACACTTTACTAACACAGTGAGGGGAAAATGTGGTCGGCTTACTTATGACTTGATCTCGAACGGTTCGCAGTTGAGAGCTGATAATCATCATGTCGGCGTTTATTGAATCCATGAATAGAGCGTTCTCTAGATCGGGCCAATTTAAAATTGTATGTACACACCCAACAAAGAATCTGTCCATCAACTTTCTCTCGGCTAGCCTATACAAATAAACGAGAACAAAATATACGAATTAGAAAATTGTCTCAACAGTAATTTCAGTGAAGAATGATGTTTCGGAGAATATCGAAAAACAAAAACGTCAAGTCACAATGAATACGAAACAATTAATAAATTTAGCTACCAACAATCGGTATAGGCATAAAAGGTTTATCAATTGGACACTGATTTCATTATACCCACAAAAAAATATGTTAATACCTCGTACTGAAACAGATAGTTGAATTTTTATGTTGGTTTGTTCTCTGAGCTGGATGGTTTGGTCGTGGAGCTTTCATCGTCCTTCTGAACGACATCATCAGCACAAACTTCGGGTAGAAGTGAAGTGTTTGAATTTCTCCACATGTGATTCACAGCTTGTCCTCTGCACCTCGATGTTGATTGGTTCTTATTGACCTTAAATCTGTCATTGTTTATTTCTTTGTTTTGATTGTCTCTCCTATTGTTTTGATTTTTGTTCCTATGCTCCTGCATAATTTTCTTGATTGGTTGATAGATTGGATTGATTTCAATATGTTTGTTTATTGCTGATTGACCTGAGTGCCAAGCTTCTAAAAATTCTCTGGTATTTTTGGAATTGCCTCTGTCCAAAATCTGCACATTTTCCCAGTCGAATGTATGTCCGTAGTTGTCCACGTGTATTGATATGAGTGAAGAAATGTCGTGGCGTTTGACTGCTAATTGGTGTTCATGTAGGCGAAGATGCAGGGGGCGTCCGCTTTGTCCAATATAGTGTTTGTTGCAGTTGGTACAATTTATCTTGTAGATGATGTTTGTTTTGTCCTCTTTTGCCATTTCATCTTTTGGTTTGCATAAGATTGAGTGGAGGGACTTTGTTGGTTTGTGGGCTACACCTATTCCGAAGGTTTTCAGCAGCCTTGTTGTCGTTTCCGATATGCCCTTTATGTATGGTAGGGTGATCCTTTTGTTGATTTTTATACTTGACTTCATTTCTGATGGTGTGTGCGACTGGTATTTTTTGATGAAATTGATTGGATAGCCGTTTTTTTGAAGAATGGTTTTCAGGTGTTTTTCTTCATTTTTTCGTGCTGTGATTGTATTGCAGTGTGTTCTCGCCCTCTTGAACAAAGTTTGTACACAGTTGATTTTGTGAGTTCTTGGGTTGTTGCTATTGTAGTTGAGAATTTGATCGGTGTGGGTCGGCTTCCTGTACACTTGAGTCTCTAGTTTTCCTGTGTCAGTTCTGGTGATTAATACATCTAAGAATGGCAACTTGTTGTCCGACTCTTGTTCCATTGTGAACTTGATGTCGTTGAAGACGTTGTTGATCTGCTCGTAGGTGTTTTCTAGTTCCTCCTTTTTGACGATGACGAATGTGTCGTCTACATAACGAATCCAAATTTTTGGTTTGATCACTGGTGCTGATGATGTGCTGACGATGTCATTCAGAAGGACGATGAAAGCTCCACGACAAAACCATCCAGCTCAGAGAACAAACCAACATAAAAATCATCCACTTGAGCTACAAATCTTCTCCACCATCTCAAAATCATACGAGTGTAGTACGCTTCTCGTTGTTCGAAAATGGGAGAATTTCGCCAAAAGGCAAGCTTCCACTCGAGAACAACTCTATTTTCTCCACGAGTGCATTCGCCAGCATGTCCTGCCAACAAGTGTAAGATACAGACCTCCAATCAACTGCCCATTAGGATGGAAAATAGCTGAGCAAAGTGGAAGAAAATGGTTTATCTAATGATAACTGACGCACATTACAGGATCCGCAAATACCAACATGTCATAGAGGACCAAAAGAGGAAGCTACAACAGACACTCACACCAGAACACTTCGAAACCTTGTCAACAGCCATCGAAACATTATGCAAACGACACAAAGAAAAAAGAAGAAACATCCTTAAAAAGAAAATAATCAAAATCTCAAAACCAACTATAGAAGAAAACACAAACAACAGCGTGGTCAACCTATCCAAGCAACCACTAACAAACACAGAAGAACAGCTACTCCGAAAAGGATTAAATTACAATACAAGCGATGCCCCAAAACTAGCATTCTACGCAGCACTAGAGTCATCACTCAAAACTTCCGGAATAAGTGAGGAAACGCAACAGGAAATACGACAATCTATAATACCACTAACTCAACGGATGAAGGGCAACAACCAACTGACGTCACAAGAACAAACAGCTTTGAAGAAACTCAGAACCAGAAAAGATATTGTCATCGTTCCAGCAGACAAAGGATGCACTACGGTGATTATGGACAAAGAAGAATACATCAAGAAAGCCGAGGAAATACTCGAGGACAAAAGTACATACAAACCGATGGACATAAATCCAGTCAAAAAACTAGACAATCGCATTTCAAAAACTATAAACAAACTCGTCAAAGCAGGAGAAATAACGAAGCAAGATCAATGGAGAATGAAATCTAATGGACCAGTACTCCCTCGGTTCTACGGCAGACCAAAGATACACAAACCAAACATCCCACTACGTCCAATTGTAGCACTACCAGGAACACCAACATACAATTTATCAAGAGAAATCTCAAGAATACTGAAACATTTAGTAGATTCGTCGAACCACTACATCAAATCAGCCACACAATTCCTTGATCAGATTAGGAACATTCAAATCAACGACGACGAACTAATGATATCCTTCGATGTAACAGCACTATTCACTTCAATTGAACCAAACCTAGCAAAAGAAACTCTGTCCTTGCTCCTAAACAACGACGAAAACCTCGCGAAATACACGAAACTTCAAAGTCAAAGCCTACTTGAACTCATAGATCTATGTCTAACAACATATTTCCAATTCAATAACAAAATCTACAAACAAACAAAAGGGACACCAATGGGATCACCAATATCAGGACTCATCGCGGAAGCAGTAATGCAACGACTAGAAACCACAATTCTACCAGTGATCAAACCAAAAATTTGGATTCGTTATGTAGACGACACATTCGTCATCGTCAAAAAGGAGGAACTAGAAAACACCTACGAGCAGATCAACAACGTCTTCAACGACATCAAGTTCACAATGGAACAAGAGTCGGACAACAAGTTGCCATTCTTAGATGTATTAATCACCAGAACTGACACAGGAAAACTAGAGACTCAAGTGTACAGGAAGCCGACCCACACCGATCAAATTCTCAACTACAATAGCAACAACCCAAGAACTCACAAAATCAACTGTGTACAAACTTTGTTCAAGAGGGCGAGAACACACTGCAATACAATCACAGCACGAAAAAATGAAGAAAAACACCTGAAAACCATTCTTCAAAAAAACGGCTATCCAATCAATTTCATCAAAAAATACCAGTCGCACACACCATCAGAAACGAAATCAAGTATAAAAATCAACAAAAGGATCACCCTACCATACACAAAGGGCATATCGGAAACGACAACAAGGCTGCTGAAAACCTTCGGAATAGGTGTAGCCCACAAACTAACAAAGTCCCTCCACTCAATCTTATGCAAACCAAAAGATGAAATGGCAAAAGAGGACAAAACAAACATCATCTACAAGATAAATTGTACCAACTGAAACAAACACTATAGTGGACAAAGCATCATCTAGTGGACAATGCATCTTCGCCTACATGAACACCAATTAGCAGTCAAACGCCACGACATTTCTTCACTCATATCAATACATGTGGATAACTGCGGACATACATTCAACTGGGAAAATGTGCAGATTTTGGACAGAGGCAATTCCAAAAATGCCAGAGAATTTTCAGAAGATTGGCACTCAGGTCAATCACCAATAAACAAACATATTGAAATCAATCCAATCTACCAACCAATCAAGAAAATTATGCAGGAGCATAGGAACAAAAATCAAACCAATAGGAGATACATCCAAAACAAAGAAATAAACAATGACAGATTTAAGGTCAATAAGAACCAATCAACATCGAGGTGCAGAGGACAAGCTGTGAATCACATGTGGAGAAATTCAAACACTTCACTTCTACCCGAAGTTTATGCTGATGATGTCATTCAGAAGGACGATGAAAGCTCCATGACCAAACCATCCGGCTCAGAGAACAAATCAACATCAAAGACACCCACCTGAGCTACAAATCTTCCCCACCATCTCAGATAGTTGAATTGTTCAGATGTAGTTTTTGCAATAACACAACAAAAATTTCCAATGTGAAATCTTGGTGAAATACATGTAAATGCAGTAAGTGACTACTCACAAAATTATTTCAATCCTGAAATTAATCATTTACTCTTAAATTTTGCACCCAAATGAAAATGAGAATCAACTTATCAATAAACGCATCACAGTGATAAGTAGCCATCCGGGAATTACTTTTCCTAGTAGAAACAGTAGTTATAGAATCATCTCACGTTATTCATCTCCGAAACTCATATCCGAATCTTCGGATATATAAATCTTCGTGAAGTTCACATAACTGAACACATATACAATGGAAGTGACAAAACTATTGAAGCTGGGTTCTTCGATCTGATTGAAGAGTTGGGATCATTTTGAAGTGTGAAAATAGCAACTCTGTGGAGAAATAACCAGACGACGTCACGTTTGGACTGGACCTTCAAAAACGAAGAATTACTAAGTGATAACCTTTCAATCCTGACTCCGCTGAGAAGAAGAGATCACGCTGTCATAGCCTTTAATTTTACTGGTGAAATCGGGCTTGAACATCCTGATGACAACAGGCGTTGGAACTTTAAACGGATGGATCCGTTAGCTTTAAAAAAATAACCTACACCAGGTAGACTGAGATGCCTACCCTTAACTTAATGTGGACACTTACATGGGTTTCTTGCTGCGCACGATCGTACGTGATACAATTCATCCTGTCCCACAAACGGTCCCCATAAGTTACAGGCAACCTACGGTCATAAACAGTCGCACCCTTAGAGTGCAGTCCGAAAAGTTTATTTCTTTATGCAGCCTTTCTTCGACAAGCCAAAGTTTCACAGTTGTCAAGTCCTAATGGCCTAACCAAAAACGACGGTGATCCCGCAGTGCTTGTCAGAACAGTATTTTAGTATATTTTAACCTCCACGTGCGAACTACGTTGACGAGAGCCCCACTTGGAGCCTAAGAGGAGTCTCAGAAGCGAACGTAAGCGCTGGGACTCGTATGTCAGGAACTGCAGTGTCTAAGCAAGGACAATACATGTTTGTGTGGGTACATATACATAGGGAGGGATTATCAACCAAGGGTTATGGAACACAATTGTAACGGAACATAGAAATGACATCAATACAACTTTCAAAATATTGTACAGAAACTGCCAAGGACGAATTCTTAGACTTGTAGAAGCTTTGGCTGTTCGAAAATTCAAGCCCCCCTTATGTATACAGAAACAAATTGCCGTAGTAATCCCAAAGTTATTTTATGGCCTGGGATAACGAGACAATTTCATTTTTTCCCCATACTATGCTAATTTTCTTTCTCTTCCATTTACACCGATCATTGTCTACTTCAACTCTTATTTATTTGGTCCTTATTAATTTTCACATAAAATGCCTTGACAAGTACGTGCCTGACTAGATCGTTATAGCGGAAATCACACTTTTCAGATCGACTCTGTCATCCCAGTGTTCTACCAATACTTAAACACCTTCTGGCCCGGACATGGTTCACTCTGCTATACGGAGAGAACTGAGTAATGATACCAGGATGTTTAAGATGTGTTTCTCCCTATCTAAATGTAAACTGTTACTCCAGGACTGGCCTGCGTCAACATCTGAACTAAGGATAGGGAGTGAAGTAGTCGAACGCGTCGACAACTTCACTTATCTTGGAAGTCTGACCAGTCCTAATGGGTTGGTTTCTGACGAAATCTCAGCACGGATTCAGAAAGCTCGTTTGTCTTTTGCCAACTTACGTCACCTATGGCGAAGACGAGATATCCGTCTATCAATTAAGGGACGAGTATACTGCGCAGCAGTTCGCTCTGTTCTACTTTACGGCTGTGAAACATGGCCATTAGGAGTAGAAGATACTCGTAAGTTACTAGTATTTGAACACAGATGCCTTAGAAATATTGCTCGCATCTACTGGGATCACCGGGTAAGTAAGAGTGAAGTTAGACACAGGGTATTAGGGAATGATGGTAAATCAGTTGATGAGGTCATGAATCTTCATCGACTGAGATGGTTAGGTCACGTTTTTAGCATGCTTGAACACCGATTACCACGACGCGCTATGCTGACTAGTGTGGGGGATGGTTGGAAGAAAGTTAGGGGCGGCCAAACCAAAACGTGGCATCAGTGCTTGAAGTCACTAACTTCTATTCTCAGCCATGTTCGTAGATGCAGACTACTCGGTTAGGGTCCGCGCGACTATCGTAACCAATGATTGGAGACTCTGTGTGACATGGCTCAGAATCGATCACAATGGCGTAGGTGTATACACTTTCTGCCATCTCTTAAACCTTGAAATTAAAATTGCTTCATAACTTTCTTCCTTCCTATGCTATATCCTTATATACAACCTATCTTTTATATATTACCACCACTAAATTAACTACTTCTATGAATCCGGTGTTCATCCTGTTATGCTAACGAGGTATGGCAACTTGGACCGATATATATATATATATATATATATATATATATATATATATATATATCTACGTTGTCCTACGTTGTAGCTGACTGACAGAGAGAAGCGGCTTCGATCTTAGCACCACTTAATGTATTCACACATCCACTAAGCCAGGGCACGGCAACAGGCAATTGAAAGCTGAAGCACATCATATCAATTTTCATAGGAGGTCAAAGCAATGAATCTTTAAACTACCGGCCAATAACACTTCACTTAATACCCTCAAAAAGTCCCTGATATACGAGGGTCTAAGCGACAACTGGTTATCTATAAACTTCTTTTTACCCCGTCAACATGGTTTCGGGAAGGGACACTCCTGTATGGCAAACCTGCTGACTGCAGTGGATAAATGAACAACCATCCTTGATCACAAAAGGAAGACTGACATGATATATTTTGACCTATTAAAAGCCTTGATAAGGTCAATCATGTCTCATCGATAGGCTCAAACTGTTAGGTGTCATGTTACCGTTGGTAGACTGGCCTACTTAATATCGAAATAATCGAGGTCCGAATGAACTTTACTTTTTCCCAGGCCACAGAATGCCCTAGTGAGGCACTTTTGAGCTTAATACTAGGACCTCTTATCCTTTTACTTCACATAAGTGACCTTCCTCAGCAACTATCATGAAACGACGTTAAACTTCGGAGAGAAGTTTACAACAAAGATGATAAGCTGGAGCTCCAGGAGGATATAATTCGACTTCCAAGTTGAGCGAACAACAACAGACTTACTTTGAACACTTCAAATTGTAAAGTAGCCAGAGTCATGTTGCAGAGTATGAATACAACCTAGACAACGCCTCTCTAGAGGTAGTCAATGTTGAAAAAGATGTAGGAGTCTTGTTACCCCATGATTTAACGTCTTGTGTTGACTGTGGCAAAAATGCCTTTTGACTGAACATTGCACTGGTAATGTTGAAGTGCATTTTTGGCCAGTTTGGCAATACAGCTGTCTATTTAATCTCTAACAGTTTAATTCTGCCCTATTTGGAGTTTCCTACATCACTCCAAAAGCATAAGAACACACTGAAACGTGCTACGGGAACCCAAATCCAAACCTTATGAAGAGCGCCTCAAATCACTGGATGTTTATCCATTAGAATATAGGTTTCCTAGAGGTAGCCTTTTAATAACTTGCAGCATCCTAAACACTAATGAGCACCCTCCAAGACACTTACTTAAACAGTCTAAATACAAACCTTAGGGATGATATCCTCTATTTCGACCACAATCATTTGAACATGAACCTGTTACTATCTAATCTGAGTGAGCCTTATATTTCCTAGTGATATTAGGAAAATTTCAAATTAAGACCAAACCTTACCTCATCTTTCAAAAAGGCACAGGTATCTCCACAAGAATGACACTGGCGTGGCTCACCGAATCTGTTTCTGTAGTGTAAGCACCTCTGGCAAACCAAAGCACTACCAAAAGCAGTTTTTAAATTGCATATGGAACAAGGCTGGGGCTCGCCGTACTTGCTTTTAAGAGATTGACAGCGTGGGCAGATACCGCCGCAACTTAGGAAACCCCAGGAATAAACTGAATTTCGGCAACTTACACACGGTATTTGAAGTCAGATTTACAATATTCACATTGTTTAAATGTAGAGTGGTGAGGACTGCATCCCTAAATATTACAGCACTAGAATGACGAGTGAAATAGAATACTTTGCATGTTTGTCCAGATCTGGACATTTCAGACTGTGGGAAATTTCGCAGGCATTTTGTGCAGGAAAATAAAAGTTGGTACATAAACCATATACTTATTTAGTGATATGCGATTGCCTCTATTGCCTATTTTTTAACTTAAAGACCTGAGATTATCTTTAATCACAGAAGTAAATTGGCACCTCATAACACAAAACTGATGAATAGTTTTTGAAACCATGAATTCATTGTTCCTAACACTGTAGATGGCATCCAGTCGCGAATGACTACGATCACCACTACACTAAGATTACGCGCCAGATAAAGAATTGGAACCCTCGATAGCCTGAAAATGAGAAGGCTGTTATTGGTCAATATAAGATTTATTTTTTTGGCAGTCTCGTGGTATCGAAAGAATACCGAGACGTGCTAAAAAGTACAGACAGAATGGCAGAGCGTAAAAGCGTTCCCACGAACAAGATGGATGGAACGAAAAGTGCTTTTGATACAGTTAAACCAACGAGAACAATAAAACAATCACTGGTACAATTAGTTATGATAATAATTGTTTCCATTATACCAATCGCGTTCTCGTCATGAAAAGAATGTCACTACAACACTTGGAACTTAAAGGTTCACATTCTGTTCAACTCAATACAATTTTTCTACTTGAAAAAACCACGAAGAATTATGTCCGGGTCTCACAAGATTATGTTCCTAATAAAAAAATTATATAAATCTGTATATTTAGATCATTTCTGAAAACTAAGCCATGTTCGTGATTCAAATTGTGAAAATTCTGCAATCTCTACTAGTCTGCCTTCATACAAACATTTATTTTGATTATAATATCAAGAATGAAGCGGACGATAAGCAGCGAAGAGTTCAGTGTCCTCAGTGACTTACACTGAGAATAAAATTTGCTCAGACCATCGAAATAAATTTAGTTGAACATTGGTTGGCGGGGATATGTAATGGAAGTCACTTCTGATCACTCCGTTCGTTTGGCGTTGTTTGAGTTTTGGGTATAACTTGATTCATGTAATCCTACTGGGAGTCCGAATATCCTTGTTTTGTTGTGTTTTAGACCATAAAACATTGATCATAAGGTCGTTTATTGGAGTTGCTGATCTACCATTTACCAACAGCGAACTCTACGGTGTAATCATAATGGATCAACCTTTATTTTCCTGCACAAAATGCCTGCGAAATTTCCCACAGTCTGAAATGTCCAGATCTGGACAAACATGCAAAGTATTCTATTTCACTCGTCATTCTAGTGCTGTAATATTTAGGGATGCAGTCCTCACCACTCTACATTTAAACAATGTGAATATTGTAAATCTGACTTCAAATACCGTGTGTAAGTTGCCGAAATTCAGTTTATTCCTGGGGTTTCCTAAGTTGCGGCGGTATCTGCCCACGCTGTCAATCTCTTAAAAGCAAGTACGGCGAGCCCCAGCCTTGTTCCATATGCAATTTAAAAACTGCTTTTGGTAGTGCTTTGGTTTGCCAGAGGTGCTTACACTACAGAAACAGATTCGGTGAGCCACGCCAGTGTCATTCTTGTGGAGATACCTGTGCCTTTTTGAAAGATGAGGTAAGGTTTGGTCTTAATTTGAAATTTTCCTAATATCACTAGGAAATATAAGGCTCACTCAGATTAGATAGTAACAGGTTCATGTTCAAATGATTGTGGTCGAAATAGAGGATATCATCCCTAAGGTTTGTATTTAGACTGTTTAAGTAAGTGTCTTGGAGGGTGCTCATTAGTGTTTAGGATGCTGCAAGTTATTAAAAGGCTACCTCTAGGAAACCTATATTCTAATGGATAAACATCCAGTGATTTGAGGCGCTCTTCATAAGGTTTGGATTTGGGTTCCCGTAGCACGTTTCAGTGTGTTCTTATGCTTTTGGAGTGATGTAGGAAACTCCAAATAGGGCAGAATTAAACTGTTAGAGATTAAATAGACAGCTGTATTGCCAAACTGGCCAAAAATGCACTTCAACATTACCAGTGCAATGTTCAGTCAAAAGGCATTTTTGCCACAGTCAACACAAGACGTTAAATCATGGGGTAACAAGACTCCTACATCTTTTTCAACATTGACTACCTCTAGAGAGGCGTTGTCTAGGTTGTATTCATACTCTGCAACATGACTCTGGCTACTTTACAATTTGAAGTGTTCAAAGTAAGTCTGTTGTTGTTCGCTCAACTTGGAAGTCGAATTATATCCTCCTGGAGCTCCAGCTTATCATCTTTGTTGTAAACTTCTCTCCGAAGTTTAACGTCGTTTCATGATAGTTGCTGAGGAAGGTCACTTATGTGAAGTAAAAGGATAAGAGGTCCTAGTATTAAGCTCAAAAGTGCCTCACTAGGGCATTCTGTGGCCTGGGAAAAAGTAAAGTTCATTCGGACCTCGATTATTTCGATATTAAGTAGGCCAGTCTACCAACGGTAACATGACACCTAACAGTTTGAGCCTATCGATGAGACATGATTGACCTTATCAAGGCTTTTAATAGGTCAAAATATATCATGTCAGTCTTCCTTTTGTGATCAAGGATGGTTGTTCATTTATCCACTGCAGTCAGCAGGTTTGCCATACAGGAGTGTCCCTTCCCGAAACCATGTTGACGGGGTAAAAAGAAGTTTATAGATAACCAGTTGTCGCTTAGACCCTCGTATATCAGGGACTTTTTGAGGGTATTAAGTGAAGTGTTATTGGCCGGTAGTTTAAAGATTCATTGCTTTGACCTCCTATGAAAATTGATATGATGTGCTTCAGCTTTCAATTGCCTGTTGCCGTGCCCTGGCTTAGTGGATGTGTGAATACATTAAGTGGTGCTAAGATCGAAGCCGCTTCTCTCTGTCAGTCAGCTACAACGTAGGACAACGTAGATATATATATATATATATATATATATATATATATCGGTCCAAGTTGCCATACCTCGTTAGCATAACAGGATGAACACCGGATTCATAGAAGTAGTTAATTTAGTGGTGGTAATATATAAAAGATAGGTTGTATATAAGGATATAGCATAGGAAGGAAGAAAGTTATGAAGCAATTTTAATTTCAAGGTTTAAGAGATGGCAGAAAGTGTATACACCTACGCCATTGTGATCGATTCTGAGCCATGTCACACAGAGTCTCCAATCATTGGTTACGATAGTCGCGCGGACCCTAACCGAGTAGTCTGCATCTACGAACATGGCTGAGAATAGAAGTTAGTGACTTCAAGCACTGATGCCACGTTTTGGTTTGGCCGCCCCTAACTTTCTTCCAACCATCCCCCACACTAGTCAGCATAGCGCGTCGTGGTAATCGGTGTTCAAGCATGCTAAAAACGTGACCTAACCATCTCAGTCGATGAAGATTCATGACCTCATCAACTGATTTACCATCATTCCCTAATACCCTGTGTCTAACTTCACTCTTACTTACCCGGTGATCCCAGTAGATGCGAGCAATATTTCTAAGGCATCTGTGTTCAAATACTAGTAACTTACGAGTATCTTCTACTCCTAATGGCCATGTTTCACAGCCGTAAAGTAGAACAGAGCGAACTGCTGCGCAGTATACTCGTCCCTTAATTGATAGACGGATATCTCGTCTTCGCCATAGGTGACGTAAGTTGGCAAAAGACAAACGAGCTTTCTGAATCCGTGCTGAGATTTCGTCAGAAACCAACCCATTAGGACTGGTCAGACTTCCAAGATAAGTGAAGTTGTCGACGCGTTCGACTACTTCACTCCCTATCCTTAGTTCAGATGTTGACGCAGGCCAGTCCTGGAGTAACAGTTTACATTTAGATAGGGAGAAACACATCTTAAACATCCTGGTATCATTACTCAGTTCTCTCCGTATAGCAGAGTGAACCATGTCCGGGCCAGAAGGTGTTTAAGTATTGGTAGAACACTGGGATGACAGAGTCGATCTGAAAAGTGTGATTTCCGCTATAACGATCTAGTCAGGCACGTACTTGTCAAGGCATTTTATGTGAAAATTAATAAGGACCAAATAAATAAGAGTTGAAGTAGACAATGATCGGTGTAAATGGAAGAGAAAGAAAATTAGCATAGTATGGGGAAAAAATGAAATTGTCTCGTTATCCCAGGCCATAAAATAACTTTGGGATTACTACGGCAATTTGTTTCTGTATACATAAGGGGGGCTTGAATTTTCGAACAGCCAAAGCTTCTACAAGTCTAAGAATTCGTCCTTGGCAGTTTCTGTACAATATTTTGAAAGTTGTATTGATGTCATTTCTATGTTCCGTTACAATTGTGTTCCATAACCCTTGGTTGATAATCCCTCCCTATGTATATGTACCCACACAAACATGTATTGTCCTTGCTTAGACACTGCAGTTCCTGACATACGAGTCCCAGCGCTTACGTTCGCTTCTGAGACTCCTCTTAGGCTCCAAGTGGGGCTCTCGTCAACGTAGTTCGCACGTGGAGGTTAAAATATACTAAAATACTGTTCTGACAAGCACTGCGGGATCACCGTCGTTTTTGGTTAGGCCATTAGGACTTGACAACTGTGAAACTTTGGCTTGTCGAAGAAAGGCTGCATAAAGAAATAAACTTTTCGGACTGCACTCTAAGGGTGCGACTGTTTATGACCGTAGGTTGCCTGTAACTTATGGGGACCGTTTGTGGGACAGGATGAATTGTATCACGTACGATCGTGCGCAGCAAGAAACCCATGTAAGTGTCCACATTAAGTTAAGGGTAGGCATCTCAGTCTACCTGGTGTAGGTTATTTTTTTAAAGCTAACGGATCCATCCGTTTAAAGTTCCAACGCCTGTTGTCATCAGGATGTTCAAGCCCGATTTCACCAGTAAAATTAAAGGCTATGACAGCGTGATCTCTTCTTCTCAGCGGAGTCAGGATTGAAAGGTTATCACTTAGTAATTCTTCGTTTTTGAAGGTCCAGTCCAAACGTGACGTCGTCTGGTTATTTCTCCACAGAGTTGCTATTTTCACACTTCAAAATGATCCCAACTCTTCAATCAGATCGAAGAACCCAGCTTCAATAGTTTTGTCACTTCCATTGTATATGTGTTCAGTTATGTGAACTTCACGAAGATTTATATATCCGAAGATTCGGATATGAGTTTCGGAGATGAATAACGTGAGATGATTCTATAACTACTGTTTCTACTAGGAAAAGTAATTCCCGGATGGCTACTTATCACTGTGATGCGTTTATTGATAAGTTGATTCTCATTTTCATTTGGGTGCAAAATTTAAGAGTAAATGATTAATTTCAGGATTGAAATAATTTTGTGAGTAGTCACTTACTGCATTTACATGTATTTCACCAAGATTTCACATTGGAAATTTTTGTTGTGTTATTGCAAAAACTACATCTGAACAATTCAACTATCTGAGATGGTGGGGAAGATTTGTAGCTCAGGTGGGTGATTTTTATGTTGGTTTGTTCTCTGAGCTGGATGGTTTGGTCGTGGAGCTTTCATCGTCCTTCTGAACGACATCATCAGCACAAACTTCGGGTAGAAGTGAAGTGTTTGAATTTCTCCACATGTGATTCACAGCTTGTCCTCTGCACCTCGATGTTGATTGGTTCTTATTGACCTTAAATCTGTCATTGTTTATTTCTTTGTTTTGATTGTCTCTCCTATTGTTTTGATTTTTGTTCCTATGTTCTTGCATAATTTTCTTGATTGGTTGGTAGATTGGATTGATTTCAATATGTTTGTTTATTGCTGATTGACCTGAGTGCCAATCTTCTAAAAATTCTCTGGAATTTTTGGAATTGCATCTATCCAAAATCTGCACATTTTCCCAGTCGAATGTATGTCCGTAGTTGTCCACGTGTATTGATATGAGTGAAGAAATGTCGTGGCGTTTGACTGCTAATTGGTGTTCATGTAGGCGAAGATGCAGGGGGCGTCCGCTTTGTCCAATATAGTGTTTGTTGCAGTTGGTACAATTTATCTTGTAGATGATGTTTGTTTTGTCCTCTTTTGCCATTTCATCTTTTGGTTTGCATAAGATTGAGTGGAGGGACTTTGTTGGTTTGTGGGCTACACCTATTCCGAAGGTTTTCAGCAGCCTTGTTGTCGTTTCCGATATGCCCTTTATGTATGGTAGGGTGATCCTTTTGTTGATTTTTATACTTGACTTCATTTCTGATGGTGTGTGCGACTGGTATTTTTTGATGAAATTGATTGGATAGCCGTTTTTTTGAAGAATGGTTTTCAGGTGTTTTTCTTCATTTTTTCGTGCTGTGATTGTATTGCAGTGTGTTCTCGCCCTCTTGAACAAAGTTTGTACACAGTTGATTTTGTGAGTTCTTGGGTTGTTGCTATTGTAGTTGAGAATTTGATCGGTGTGGGTCGGCTTCCTGTACACTTGAGTCTCTAGTTTTCCTGTGTCAGTTCTGGTGATTAATACATCTAAGAATGGCAACTTGTTGTCCGACTCTTGTTCCATTGTGAACTTGATGTCGTTGAAGACGTTGTTGATCTGCTCGTAGGTGTTTTCTAGTTCCTCCTTTTTGACGATGACGAATGTGTCGTCTACATAACGAATCCAAATTTTTGGTTTGATCACTGGTAGAATTGTGGTTTCTAGTCGTTGCATTACTGCTTCCGCGATGAGTCCTGATATTGGTGATCCCATTGGTGTCCCTTTTGTTTGTTTGTAGATTTTGTTATTGAATTGGAAATATGTTGTTAGACATAGATCTATGAGTTCAAGTAGGCTTTGACTTTGAAGTTTCGTGTATTTCGCGAGGTTTTCGTCGTTGTTTAGGAGCAAGGACAGAGTTTCTTTTGCTAGGTTTGGTTCAATTGAAGTGAATAGTGCTGTTACATCGAAGGATATCATTAGTTCGTCGTCGTTGATTTGAATGTTCCTAATCTGATCAAGGAATTGTGTGGCTGATTTGATGTAGTGGTTCGACGAATCTACTAAATGTTTCAGTATTCTTGAGATTTCTCTTGATAAATTGTATGTTGGTGTTCCTGGTAGTGCTACAATTGGACGTAGTGGGATGTTTGGTTTGTGTATCTTTGGTCTGCCGTAGAACCGAGGGAGTACTGGTCCATTAGATTTCATTCTCCATTGATCTTGCTTCGTTATTTCTCCTGCTTTGACGAGTTTGTTTATAGTTTTTGAAATGCGATTGTCTAGTTTTTTGACTGGATTTATGTCCATCGGTTTGTATGTACTTTTGTCCTCGAGTATTTCCTCGGCTTTCTTGATGTATTCTTCTTTGTCCATAATCACCGTAGTGCATCCTTTGTCTGCTGGAACGATGACAATATCTTTTCTGGTTCTGAGTTTCTTCAAAGCTGTTTGTTCTTGTGACGTCAGTTGGTTGTTGCCCTTCATCCGTTGAGTTAGTGGTATTATAGATTGTCGTATTTCCTGTTGCGTTTCCTCACTTATTCCGGAAGTTTTGAGTGATGACTCTAGTGCTGCGTAGAATGCTAGTTTTGGGGCATCGCTTGTATTGTAATTTAATCCTTTTCGGAGTAGCTGTTCTTCTGTGTTTGTTAGTGGTTGCTTGGATAGGTTGACCACGCTGTTGTTTGTGTTTTCTTCTATAGTTGGTTTTGAGATTTTGATTATTTTCTTTTTAAGGATGTTTCTTCTTTTTTCTTTGTGTCGTTTGCATAATGTTTCGATGGCTGTTGACAAGGTTTCGAAGTGTTCTGGTGTGAGTGTCTGTTGTAGCTTCCTCTTTTGGTCCTCTATGACATGTTGGTATTTGCGGATCCTGTAATGTGCGTCAGTTATCATTAGATAAACCATTTTCTTCCACTTTGCTCAGCTATTTTCCATCCTAATGGGCAGTTGATTGGAGGTCTGTATCTTACACTTGTTGGCAGGACATGCTGGCGAATGCACTCGTGGAGAAAATAGAGTTGTTCTCGAGTGGAAGCTTGCCTTTTGGCGAAATTCTCCCATTTTCGAACAACGAGAAGCGTACTACACTCGTATGATTTTGAGATGGTGGAGAAGATTTGTAGCTCAAGTGGATGATTTTTATGTTGGTTTGTTCTCTGAGCTGGATGGTTTTGTCGTGGAGCTTTCATCGTCCTTCTGAATGACATCGTCAGCACATCATCAGCACCAGTGATCAAACCAAAAATTTGGATTCGTTATGTAGACGACACATTCGTCATCGTCAAAAAGGAGGAACTAGAAAACACCTACGAGCAGATCAACAACGTCTTCAACGACATCAAGTTCACAATGGAACAAGAGTCGGACAACAAGTTGCCATTCTTAGATGTATTAATCACCAGAACTGACACAGGAAAACTAGAGACTCAAGTGTACAGGAAGCCGACCCACACCGATCAAATTCTCAACTACAATAGCAACAACCCAAGAACTCACAAAATCAACTGTGTACAAACTTTGTTCAAGAGGGCGAGAACACACTGCAATACAATCACAGCACGAAAAAATGAAGAAAAACACCTGAAAACCATTCTTCAAAAAAACGGCTATCCAATCAATTTCATCAAAAAATACCAGTCGCACACACCATCAGAAATGAAGTCAAGTATAAAAATCAACAAAAGGATCACCCTACCATACATAAAGGGCATATCGGAAACGACAACAAGGCTGCTGAAAACCTTCGGAATAGGTGTAGCCCACAAACCAACAAAGTCCCTCCACTCAATCTTATGCAAACCAAAAGATGAAATGGCAAAAGAGGACAAAACAAACATCATCTACAAGATAAATTGTACCAACTGCAACAAACACTATATTGGACAAAGCGGACGCCCCCTGCATCTTCGCCTACATGAACACCAATTAGCAGTCAAACGCCACGACATTTCTTCACTCATATCAATACACGTGGACAACTACGGACATACATTCGACTGGGAAAATGTGCAGATTTTGGACAGAGGCAATTCCAAAAATACCAGAGAATTTTTAGAAGCTTGGCACTCAGGTCAATCAGCAATAAACAAACATATTGAAATCAATCCAATCTATCAACCAATCAAGAAAATTATGCAGGAGCATAGGAACAAAAATCAAAACAATAGGAGAGACAATCAAAACGAAGAAATAAACAATGACAGATTTAAGGTCAATAAGAACCAATCAACATCGAGGTGCAGAGGACAAGCTGTGAATCACATGTGGAGAAATTCAAACACTTCACTTCTACCCGAAGTTTGTGCTGATGATGTCGTTCAGAAGGACGATGAAAGCTCCACGACCAAACCATCCAGCTCAGAGAACAAACCAACATAAAAATTCAACTATCTGTTTCAGTACGAGGTATTAACATATTGTTTTGTGGGTATAATGAAATCAGTGTCCAATTGATAAACCTTTTATGCCTATACCGATTGTTGGTAGCTAAATTTATTAATTGTTTCGTATTCATTGTGACTTGACGTTTTTGTTTTTCGATATTCTCCGAAACATCATTCTTCACTGAAATTACTGTTGAGACAATTTTCTAATTCGTATATTTTGTTCTCGTTTATTTGTATAGGCTAGCCGAGAGAAAGTTGATGGACAGATTCTTTGTTGGGTGTGTACATACAATTTTAAATTGGCCCGATCTAGAGAACGCTCTATTCATGGATTCAATAAACGCCGACATGATGATTATCAGCTCTCAACTGCGAACCGTTCGAGATCAAGTCATAAGTAAGCCGACCACATTTTCCCCTCACTGTGTTAGTAAAGTGTTAGAACTGAAATTCCTGGCAGATTTCAATATTATTTTACAAAGCTCTGAACATCAAATCAATAGATCGTCACAATCTCGAGCTCTTTTAGAAACTGGTAAAGAAATATTTAGCGGTGAATAGTTCCTTGATTCATTTTCTATTTTCATGAATAATTCACGGTTGCCTATAACTAGCTGACTGAATGACCTATCGTAACAGGCAAATTTCAAATGAAAGAGGCGACATTTTTAGAATTGCAATGATCCATTTTCATTGATCTTGTGCTCAGATATCTACATACGTCAAACAAGTGCTGAAGGCTTAAACACTTCCTGACCTAACAACTACTAACATCATGCATGCATCATATCGAACTGATGTACGTACGTACGAAGTTCTACGTTGTGACTGACTGACTATCAACTGTAGACACAACAATCACTACTGAAGGTTAGTGGCTAAATACTGTTGCTTTTACCGGAATACTTAAGCTCGGATTATGTTTCAGGTCATGTACATGTTTATCCTTACTTCAATAAACATAGAAACTTCAACAAAAAGGTTGTTTTATAAAGGGTTTTACTATGTGGAGATGCCGATAAAAAGCAGTATTTCACATAACTTGGGTGACAGTATAAAAGTTCTAAGAATATCTCTCATCCACTGCATCCAGAGTGTTACCTCAGCAGCGCTGTACTTCAATTCTCAATTTAAAAGTACGGTGAAGCGATGGAGTCCTTTAGTCACTCCACTTTAAGAGTTTAGTTAACTGTGGTGAGTTGGTGGTAGATGATATCAAGGAAAACACAAATAATCACCCTGTTTTTATCACTTTATGCCAGTTATGACGCAGGAGAGATATCTAAATACCCAATATAAGACAAATATGTTATGAAGTTCACACAATGCTCTTTGACTGTGAAGGATATTTACCCAAGTCAGATGTCCATAAGTCACAAATATCCATGGTTGTCTCTGAAGCAATGTCCCCTCTTCACAGGCTGTCAAAGTATCCAGTACTCGCCCAGTTACTACCTAGTACAACAAGTTTTGCCGGCTAAGATGGAAGTGGATCAAGGACCAATGCTGCCCAGATAAAAGCAGCTGTAGTCTACAACATCATTGAGTGGTCTTTGAACCCGTGTGGGGGATTTCGTTTTTATTGCGTGAGTCTCATTCTGTGAAATCGTGTCTTATAAGATTGATCCATATTGATACCAGGTTCAGTGTTTCTATTTCTTAGAATGTTTATTTGATGACCCACGGAAATTTTTAGAAATAATATCCTTTATTTATTTAAAATAAAAGGCTGGAATTTTAATGCTCATATTTCGTTTTCTAGACAAATGAAAAAGCTGTATTCGCACAAACTTTTGAATTTTAGCTCTCTTAAAAAAACTTGTACTGATGGGTATGGAACAAGGCAAACTGACACACAGGTGCATTTACAACAGGCTCTAACTACTCAAGCACTAAGGTAAGTAATAGGTCATTGAGTAGGACTTATATTTATATGCAAGTGGTAATTGTGTGGTCATATGGAATGCTAATGACTTATAAATTGGTTAAAAACTAAGTAGTTCTCTATAGGCGTTAATACTGTCAGACGAGCTAGGACAACGCAACTGAGTTTAAATGTAGTTAAAAGGCTATCTTGGTTTCTCGAAATATTTATATATGAAAATAAACGAATAATAAGGGGTTCTACAAAAAATAATTGTTAGTTTATGTTCGACTAATTCAAGGTAATTGACTCAACAATAAGTCTCAATGCATGCTGGCACGGATGTGTGACTGAACAGATAAGAAGAGTGTTAACCAATGAGGAAAGAGTTTACAACTAATAAAATATAAGGAAGGTTATAAAGTCTAGTTGTTCACAAGTAATATAGTTATGATACATACATTTCAAGAACAATATGCTGTGAAATACTTTTTCATTAGAGATAAATGCACTGTTTAGACTAAAATGTCCTTGAGGATTGTATGAATACGGTCAGATCATTCAATGAGCCTTTGTTCTACTCATCAACGATTATATTTCTTCTAAACTATGTTTCTCACTGCTGTCTATCCTTCTTACTAAAGTAGGTAAAACAAATTGGCTCATTTGCCTGGTAATTAAAAATGAGCCGCTCTAAATTCAAAGGATAATAATTTACTACTCGGTTACCCAAACCGAAGTAGGTGAAGTGAAGAGATCTCTAAGCAATACTGTCATAGAATTTCCTTTCCAAGTTTGCCAAGTGATGTCCATGCTCTTGATGTCCGCCTCCAGTTCTCGGAGCCCTGTGTGTTCCTCGATCCATCACTTTCCTGTTTGCCTTGAGAATTTCTAGTTAGGGCTTGCCTCGCGATTCAGTTTTCATAATGTGTCCTACCCACCTTTTCTTAATTTCTTTAACTGCAAGTCAGTTTATTCTTATTCAGTATGTTATTGCTGATGGTCTCTAGGCAATCGATCTAGAGTATTATGCGTAGATACCTGTTTAAAACACCTGTACCTTATTATGGCGGTTGTGTTAGTTCTCCAAGTCTCAGCTCTTTACTATAGAACTACTTCGACGTTAGTGTTAAAAATTGTGACTTTGGTCTTGGGTGACAGTTATTTTGAGTTCCAGATATTCTTCAATTGTTGGAATACTACCCTTGATTTGTTGATTGATGTTTTCACGTCCGAATCAAATCCTCCTTGTTGATTGATGTTACTGTCTAGGTAGTGGAGGTTTCTACTTCTTCCAGAGCTTTTACATCTAGTGTGATTTGGTTGGTGCTCAATGTTTTACGTACCATGATCTTTTTCTCTTGTGAATGTTGAGGTCCATTTCTGTGGAAGCCGCTAGTACACTGTCCGCTCTCCCCATTCTTGTTTAACTTTGTCGTTGACATGCTTTCAGAGATAACACTTTAATCTAAATCTCCAGAATTTGAAATGTTACTGGGGGACTCACTTGTTGACTTAGAATACGCCGATGACATAGTTCTATTTGGTGAAGATGCTGACAAAATGCAGTCTTCTGACCCCTATAAGCAACTATACAAGCATGTTCAGGATGCGATTCTCCCCCTCGAAGTGCAAAATGTTACTTTAGGATCGGGTTGTGTCGGCACCTGAACTAGTGATAGAGAGTAAAGTAGTTGAGCGTGTTGACCGCTTCACTTATCTTGGGAGTCTCATCAGCCCCTGTGGTCTGGTGTGTGACGAAATCTCAGCACGGATACAGAAGGCTCGACTAGCTTTCATCAACTTGCGCCATTTATGGCGTAGGCGAAATATCCGTTTAACAAACAAAGGACGGATTTACTGCGCAGCAGTTCGTTTCGTCCTACTTTATGGCAGATAAGAGTAGAGGATATTCGTAGGCTGCTAGTATTCGATCATAGGTATCTTCGAAGCATTGCTCGTATATCCTGGGACCACCGGGTAAGTAATGCAGTTGTTAGGAAACGGGTACTAGGTAAGGATGGCAAATCGATTGATGAAGTGGTGAAACTTCATCAGTTGAGATGGCTGTGACACGTGTTACGTATGCCCAACCACCGACTGCCCTGACATGCAATGTTTTATGGTGTAGGATTAGGTTGGAAAAAGCTAGGGATGGCCAGATCAAAACTTGGCACAAATCCATGAAGTCACTGACAAGTGGACTGAGTCATGTTGGTACGTGTAGACTACCTGGTTGGGATCCGCGAAACGATAGCAATCGAGGGTTAGAGACCTTGGGTGTAAGGCTCAAAATCGTTTACGATGGCGTAGGTGCATCCACTCTCGGTGTTCTACCAAATTCTAATCTTCTGAAATCTTCATGTCCCTATCTTTTTCTCTAAATTTATTTCATTGGATTATACTCTTTCAATAAAATCTTCAAACCCTAATCTTTCACATTACTGCTTATACTCGTACTACTTCTACCACTATGGGATTTGAATCGACAACTGCATCTCTGTGCTAATGTGGTATGGCAACTCGAACTGATGTACGTACGTACAGGGATATGGAGTCTTCTCTGACACCGGTCTTCACTTGGAACACGTCTTGGAGCTGTCCTCCTCAGTCATTCGTGAGAGTTCCATATGATGGTGACAATCTTCCCATCCTATATTGTCAAAAAGGATTCTACATCGCGTTTTTATGCATTCTATTGAATGCTTTCCTAAACAGTCACTAGAGTTGGTAATAATCCACAGTATCGCGGTTTGATTGTTATGTAATCGATCCTTACGAAATCCAGTTTGCTGGTTTCGAAGCTTCTTCTGCTGTAGGGACAGGGTCTTTGTACGTGTTTTCATTTGTCAGCTCCAATGCTTTTCATCCTCTCATTTGCTCCTGTATATCTGGCCTGTTCCTTGGTTTCATGAGCTCTTGTTTGGTTGTCATTAGCTGCTGTCTTCTTTTTCCCTCTCTCAAATCTTGATCGGGCTGTTTGCAGTGATACATTCTTTATGTCGGTGCTTTTTGCTACTCACCACCTTCTAGTATTTTGAGTTTATTGCTTTTCAGATCCTTTTCCAGTCCTACATAATGGTTTTTTTCTTCTCCTAGTAGGCCTTGTAAGGCCTGGAACTATTTGCTGTGAGCTATCTTGAATTCACTGAGTTGTTTATTATCTCAAAAGAAAGTCGTATTGACTTTTTGCGGTGCTGCTTGTCCAAGTGTCAACTCCGCCTGTACCTCTTCTATAGTTACTGCCGGTTCCAAGCCCGGGTAAGGGAGGAGTGTTGGGCATGGGGTTAGCGACCTCATTCCGTATGAAAACTAGCTAAAAAACTCTAGACAGAAAAAATAATTCAAACCATTTAAACTCTGCCCTGGGAGTTGAAGGAAGAATTATGACGCCTCGTGATGAAAGCGGAGGTTGATGCTCATTCTAACAACCAGAGCAACACTTTATAGGTACATGGAACGTCCGGACAACGTGGGAGATCGGAAAGACCAGTCAAATAGCGATGGAAATGAGGAGATACAAATTGGTAGTACTCAGAATCAGCGAAACTCATTGGACACAAACTGGACAACAAAGGCTAGGTACGGAAAAGACACTGCTGTACTCCGGTCACGAAGGGGAAAATGCTCCACACGCTCAGGGACGACGACAAAGATCAGTTCTATTCGAGGCTGCAATCAATCATAGCGAAGTGGTCTAGGAAGGACCTCAAAATCCTGATGGGGGATCTAAACGCTAAAGTCGAAGTGGACAACATAGGATATGAAGATATAATTGGATGTCATGGACTAGGAGAGAGGAATGTAAATGGGGAGAGACTTTCAAATCTATGTGCATTCAGCAAATTGGCTATAGGCGACACAATATTTTCGCACAAACACGTGCACAAAGCTACATGGATCTCGCCGGACTACGCCACAGAGAACCAGATAGATCATATTTGTATCAACAAAAATTCCAAAGGACAATGGAAGATGTGAGAACCAGGAGAGGAGCTGATATAGCTTCAGATCACCACCTGGTTGTGGCCGAGATGAGAATTAAGCTAAAGAAACACTGGACAATTGGACAAACAGCACTACAAAGGTTCAATGAAGACTCCCTTCGAGATACTGATGATGCAACGGATATTCTGGTTTTACAACTAGATACCAGTAGCACCTTCTAAATTCGATTGTTCCCAGTCAGCTAGAAATCAGAAGTCAGACGAGAAGAGGCAGGAAAGATATATTTGGAGGACAACTGGAAAGGGATAAAAGAAGCACTAACTTCAACGTGTCAGGAGGTTCTTGGTCCTAAGAAGCATCATCATCATGAGGAATGGATCTCTATGGGAAACATGGACAATATAGAATAAAGGAAGAAGAAAAAAACAACAATTTACACCAGTCGAGCACGAGCAAAGAAAATCAAGGAGCATGCAGAGTACGCAGAAGCAAACAAGTAAGTGAAGAAAAGCATTAAAGCCGGCAAGCACAAATACACGGGAGACCTAGCAACGACGGCGAAAAAAGCTGCAAGAGAAGGGAATATCAAACAACTGTCAGTCAGTCAGCTACAACGTAGGACCAGGCACATATACATCGGTCCATGTTGCCATACCTCGTTAGCACAACAAGATGAACACCGGATTAATAGAAGTAGTTAATTTAGTGGTGGTAATATATAAAAGATAGGTTGTATATAAGGATATAGCATAGGAAGGAAGAAAGTTATGAAGCAATTTTAATCTCAAGGTTTAAGGGATGGCGCCCCAAATGCTCTGGTACTGCCGAGAGTGGGGAGTGTTCGCCCTCGCTCTCGAAATGCTCTCACATATATAGCCTCTGCCAGGGAAGTCCTACTCATTGCCTTCTCGTGGCATTACTGTTGATTACAAAATTGAGAGGACGAAAAGCGAATGTCTGAAGCTATAACCGGGTTGGTGGACACGGAAAGTCCACTTATGGGAGTTGGAAAACCCCGATTTCAAAACAATGGTGCACATGGGCTCCAGCATCCTGAAGGAACAAATGGCGTATGAACCAATCGT